GTGTGTGTGTGTGTGTGTGTGTGTGGCAGTGATACATTACATCACAGCTAATTTATGCAAAGTGAAGAGGAGCTCATTTGGCTGAGTTCCACCTTTAATGAGGCTCTGGGCGGTGCAGAGTGTTAGCGAGGGACCAGGGCGTCATTAGTAATACTTAAGAGCACAAACCAACCGGACGAGGAACCGATCACTGGGTCGTTTGTTTTTCAAACCTGTGCTCGGAAATCAAAAACAGATCCTCACACACACACCTACACACACACACACACACACACACGTCCGCTGCAACAACGTTAGCGGACCTGTGGACGTGTGTGTCTGTGTAGATTAGAGGGTTAGCGATGTGTCAGAACAGGTCAAAGGTCGTGTTCGTTTCCAAGCAGTGAGGACTAAATATAAAACATGGAGGAGGAGCAGGATTATGTCGGAATGAAAAAGTGATTTAATTAAAACTCTAAAAGATTCGTCACTGACCCGAACAAGTGATTTAACATTTACACATTCAAACAGTTTTCAGTTGTGATTTGATAATTGATGAAAAGGTTAAAACTGGACGGTCGATGCTCAGTGTTTCCACCACATCATCGTTAGGTTGTTGATTTCATTTTCATAAATATAGAAAAACACAATCTTCAGCGGGGAGGAAATATTGAGTTCAGTGAATTTAAAACTTAAAGAACTGATGAAAACGTTTTTATTCTTTTGATATTTCTCTCTCTTTTGTTGGTCTTCTGTTATATGAAGATTTTTTTTTTATTTTCTCGAGGATCTTGATGAAAAAGAATCTGGCATATTTAGTGGACTGAGATCTGTGAGTGTGATTTGGTGCAGATCAAAATAGAAATCTGGATCTAGTAAATTTACATGTGGTTTCAAAAGGGGATAATTTGTGGGGCCTTTGCGAAGACATGCACTCTACTGAGTGATATTCTTATTTGTATGGAATTATAAAATTTGACAAACAAAATAAAAAAAACACTTGTCAGTTTTGTGTTTCATGCTAAAACAGTTTGAAAACAGGTGGTCGGACACTTTGTGTGTATCTGAGTGTGTGTGTGTGTGAGTGAATGCAGGAGGGGCAGGTGGATGGTCAGGCCTGATGGGAGGGTGGTGGTGAGGAGGAGGAGGAGGAGGAGGGTGGAGAATGGGGGAGGATCGGGGGAGGATGCCTCTCTCCTAATCCTCTATCTGTCAGGTCTGTCAACAGAGAGCTCAGCTGTGCTGCTCTCAGGCCCAAAACCTAAATATTATTACCTCTGTGTCTCTGATTCGTGAGAATCTGTAAATCTGGGATTTACAGATGAAAAGACATTGATTCATTGATTCATTATCACACTTATGATCCTGTGAGGGTCTCAGGGGAGCTGGAGCTGATCCCAGCTGACACGAGAGGGCGGATATACCCTCGGAAAAAGTTATTCTATATATTTTCTTCTTTGAAAAAGAGGCATACATGAAAACAAAGCGTTTCAAGCATCACCTGTTAATCTTTAGATCTTTGATCGTCAGTTTTATGGCACATTTTGTTTTGCTGCTCGACACTGAGGCGCGGTGGGCTTTGTTACCTTTAACCTGTGAGGTCTCGGCTGGCTGTGTGTCCGGGACGTCCGGCTCCTCTGGGGAGCTGGAGAGGGAGATGAAGGACGGCAGAGCCAGAGGACCTGTGGTGGGCGTCCGTGGAGCTGCCTGCAGAGTGTGGGGAATGACAACAGACAGACGAGGCCTGGGGGAGACACAAAAAACATGATTAGCAAGGACCGAAGTTTAACTACATTACAACTCAACAACCTGCTCTTACAACCTCTTGGTGGGATCCTTGGTTCGACTTCTCCTCGTCGGTGTGGCGTTGGCGTTGCTGGTGCTTTGTTTGGCGCGTTGACGGTGCTGCAGCTTACAGCGGCTTCCTCGAGGACAGGAGCCGGACTTTGAGAAGTCTGGACACACCAGAGTGTGTTTCTTCTTACACTGGTGGTGAGATGCAAACAGAACATTAGGTTTGAAGTTCTGAAACAATGTCCACACAGGGTTTACGCAGCTTTCAACAAGTTAACTTTCAGACCTTGTAAGACCACAACGCATGAAATGTATTTCACATCTGTTTTAAAGGGAACGTTTCCTGTCTCGAGCTGCGGTTCAATAATCTCACTGCACACGTCAGGAATTCTCCGACATGATTTCTCGTGGGAAAAGAGCCAAACTCCTGATTAGGTGCAACTCCTTTTTTAAGTTCTCACAAATAAGAGACGCCCAGTATCTCCTTTAATGTGCAAGTTGAGCAAGTGGGTCACAGTTAGTGTCATCCTGAGGAGCACTGTGCATTAGAGCTCCAGCTTTCACATTCATGTTTGCAACTGAGTGTGTATGACAGTGTAATATGGGTGTAAATTGGTCGCCTCATTCTCCACGAGATCCGATCCCTCCCACCTGTCAGAAAAGCTAATTATATGCACTCTGGGGTGCAGGCTGCAAGGAGTGTGTGTGTGTGTGTGTGTGTG